ATCAATCTAGTCATGTGTGGCATATCAATCTAGCTATATGTGGTATACCAATCTGGCCATGTGTGGTATATCAATCTGGTCATATGTGGTCTACCAATCTGGCCGTGTGTGGTATATCAATCTAGCCATGTGTGGTATATCAATCTAGCCATGTGTGGTATATTAATCTAGCTATGTGTGGCATATCAATCTAGCTATATGTGGTATACCAATCTGACCATGTGTGGTATATCAATCTAACCATGTGTGGTATATCAATCTAGCCATGTGTGGTATATCAATCTAGCTATATGTGGTATACCAATCTGGCCATGTGTGGTATATCAATCTGGTCATATGTGGTCTACCAATCTGGCCATGTGTGTTATATCAATCTAGCCAAGTGTGGTATATCAATCTAGCCATGTGTGGCATATCAATCTAGCCAAGTGTGGTATATCAATCTAGCCAAGTGTGGTATATCAATCTGGCCGTGTGTGGTATATCAATCTGGCTATGTGTTGTATATCAATCTAGTCATGTGTGGTATATCAATCTAGCCATGTGTATTATATCAATCTAGCCATGTGTGGTATATCAATCTGGCCATGTGTGGTATATCAATTTGGCCATGTGTGGTATATTAATCTGGCCATGTGTAACATCAGATCGACGTCATTATTTTATAAAAACATAGAATCAGTACAACCAAACTATAACAGTAAATCGTTTCAGATTGATTAACATCAGACTATCGTCACTGTTGGACGTTGAAACATTCTAGACCGGTAGAATCATGTATGTCATATGTTCAGGTATTGCATGTTCAAATTCTACTAGAGTCGATTAACAATGAGTGTGCATACACTCAATGGCAAGGTTAGATTTACTAGGATAGCGCATTGAATTACTATTGTGATAGGAGGAGTGTTACACACCACTATCACGTGAAATGAAATGTATTTTCTGTGACAAAATGACGCTTTATGTGAGCACTCACAAAAAAAGTCTTGCACATAAACATTAAAAACTAAATGTTCATTTATTTTCGTATGCTAATTGCTTTTGAAATAAATGTACGCGCATTTCGTTGAAAAAGGGAAGTCTGAGTATACGCCCCTAAGAACAAGACACAATAGGAAATTTACATGTTGAAATCAATCAATAACATGATATCAATCATTATGATCAATAACACGAATTAATTAACAATCAATATCATGAAATCATAAATAGTATGAAATCAATAATAATCAAACTATGTACGGCTACCAGATCTGTTAGTCACATCTTTTGTCCATTACAAAATGTAATTCTAAACATGCACTTGTTGTATATGCTTTTCTTCAAAAATCTTCTCCAGAACGGCTTTTGGTCTAGGGATAAAATGTGTGTATGTTATGCAGTTAGTATGTCAGTTGGTGTTTCATCATTTGCTTCAGGAAGAGTGGTTTAGAATAAAGTTATGCAAATGAGATACAACGATAATGGTACAACGCTGTAAAATAGCAAGAGGAGTTCGACATTCGTGGGGTTGAAAACCTACGAATACTAATAAAAACAAAAACAATAGCATTATAATTTGGAAATCTGATGAAATAATCAGTACACGAAATCAATAATCAATGCATTGTGTATTAATATTGATACATTTTGAAGAAAAAGGTTTAGTTTTACTCTATCGAATTTTAGGGACGCATCCTCGGGTTCCCGATTGCGATATTCATCATTATTGTATAACTCCACCTAATTAGTTAAAGCGGGGGAATCGTTACCTGCGCATGCGTCGTACGGTCATAGCGTGTCGTTGTTTACAAACACGCATCTACCCACGAGGCTTTGCGTCTTGTTATCGTTGCTTGGGACTCAATCCCCGTCGACCCCTCCGATTCAAGACAATAAAGACACTTAAAGTAACACTAAGTTTTCTAGCTAACTTAAAGTGTTTATCTCAGTATTTGGTCCCTTCATTTAATATAGTCATGTTATTTGACATTTTCGCGGGGATAAGGGTAATATGAAAGCTGGTAAACAGCAAACCTATTTGTTAAATTGCTGAATCAGATCAACATTCTTGTAAGGTTGGCGTGTTGTTACGTATGAGACCAGTGTGGCAGAAGTGATCTATTCTAAAACCAGATTCCCAATAATAAGGTTTTTAAATTAATTCCAAAATTTGGAACAATTTGGAAATGTGGCATCATTTTTTTAATTGATTTAAAAAACACACCATAGTATCAGAAAAGTGCGCGATGTCAGTGACTGTGCGTAACCTTTTGTTCACCGTTTTGGTCTCGGGTCACAGTATTCCAAGTACTGAATACCACCGGATGGGGGGATATCATTTCTTCCCGTGTAAAATCATACTACTGAGAATTTCTTGGAAGGAAGGGGGCTGAATGCACGCTTTGAGAAGTAACACGCTTGCTATCTTTCAAGGAAAATCCCGGTTGAGAGTCTCTGTATTTGGAACTCATTAAAACTTACGCATACTTGTGTTAAATATCAGGAATTCGTTGAACTTGAAGGTAAATAAGTAAAAAACTGGCAGGATTACTTAATCTGGTATGTGTGGTAGTAATCGCAGACGTTACTTTCGTGAAGAACTGTGTGTCAACTGTTTGAGCTCTGTCGTCATACCAATCTAATGGTAAGAATAGAGCGCCTCTTTCTTTGACAAAGAAGAGTGTATTATCGTACATATATCTAGTTAAGAAAAGGTAAACGTACTAAGGCAAAAGGAATTCGGCAGATAGCCGCGGGACTTCAACTATCTAGGAGGGGACTCGCCGGGTATAATAAAATCAAAATTGAAAAGGCGTCCGCATCATTATATCGAATCGAAACGTCTGTTCTCCATACTCGTTCAGCATAATAGCTTCTTTTTTCCAGAGTAATGAACTTCGTTGAAATTTAAAGAAAGCCGGAACTCGATATGTGTGTGTTTACTCCGAAATCACACTTCCGTTGCTCAGTAGTGTCACATGCAACCAGCCATGTCGGTGGAAATAATGCCGTAAACCAGTGTAAACGTGTTTTGTCATTGTGCCCAGGTCCTGTCCTAACGCCCTATATAAATACAGTAATCGACTCTCTGTCATTCAGCCAACTTATCGAGTTCACAGTCTCGCCGGCGACGCCGCACAAGAGGTGAGTTAACTGCTATGCAATGTTGTCCCAATTGCACGCCTGAATTCATGCTTTCACCATTGCTTACATTGGATCATTGCCACGCTCTGTAAAACGAGATGTTTGTGTAACGTTGGACAAACGGCAGTTGACTTGAAAAGTAGGAATTTCGATCAATTGTTGTTATGAGAAGGGGAAAAAGATATCAACATTTTGAGTTTATTATTATGATAATATATATTTTTTATTACAGTACTAGAACAATTTAAAGACTAAATCTGACCTAGACTTGACAATGATAGCCGCGCATACTCTGCGTATCTTGGTGATGGCTTTAGCATACACTTGTCACGGTTATCCTGCACCTACCAACGTGAACCCAACTGTAAGTTCCGTGATCACGGTTGTCATAGCAACAATGTATTATATATGACTTAACATTAACCTGTGTCTTACGTGCTACAATTATGACATAAACTATTTGTCGTGTCTAACAACAACAACCATGCCCGTTTAATCAAACAGATCGCCTAATTGTCAGACTACTGTATCTACTATTTGATTACAATTTAAATAGTTATAACATTACATTATTTTTTTTTACAGGAATATTTGGAAACGTACGGATATCTGAACAAAGACGAGCTACACGATGCCGTGGACATGCAGAATGCAGTCATGAACTTTCAGCGAATGGCTAACGTGGAAGTGTCGGGAAACTTGGACAGCGCCACCATCAGTATGATGGAAATGCCTCGTTGTGGTGTGGAAGATATGACGGGCACGGCGATTATGGGTACGGAAATGAACGAAACGTTTTCCCAGTTCACATCCTATCGATCGAAGAGATATGCTTTGGCGGGTAAGTACCTCGTGTTATCAAGTTATTCAGATAAACGTAAAAAATTACGCTTTGCACAATGATCCCTGTTAGATATATTTTCATCATATTTTACCTCAGTTTGAAATTCAAGTGCGCCCTGTGTGGTGACCGCGACCTTTGATTGCAATATATTGCGGGTATCGGAAATCTGATATGCGGTGCTTCGATAATTTTTATTGACGTTTTATTGACAACTTCGAATTCCACCTTGATTTCACTGACAGGTAGGAAGTGGGACAGAACCAACCTGACTTACAAATTCGTCAATTTTACGCCAGATTTGGCAATTGTGGAACAGAAAAAAACAATCGAACAAGCTTTCGCCGCATGGAGTGACGTCACACCACTGTCATTTACCGAGGTATTTGACGGAAGACCGGACATATTGCTAGAGTTTTCAAGCGGCGTCCACAGTGATGGTAAAAATGCCGCTTTCGATGGACCGGGTAAGTCAAATTTCGACAATATTAATTGCAAGTTACTTCTTCAGAAGTGGGAAAATATGTATTTATTTTAACGATAATGGCTATTGGAGGGAGGGGCGGGGTCAGTGCGTATACGTGTAAGAACGGTGAATAATTAAGAACATTCGTTGATGATATGTTTTTTAATCTTAAAATAAAAAAAACGCTGTTTTTCAGTGAACATTGCACTCATTCGGTACAATAATAAAAACTCAAAAGGATGCGCAAATGTGTTATTATTGTATCAAATGAATATGTTAAATCATATCATATTTGTTTCTAATAGAGTACACTATCAATTAGAATTATTTACTCATGGTTAAAGCAGGGGAGTCGTCACCTGCGCATGCGTCAGATGACCACAGTGTGTCACTGCTTACAAACAAACGTCTACCCATGAGCCTTTGCGTTTTTAGCGTGGACCCGATTTCCGCGCGTGTGCAGGTGACGACCCTACCGCTTTAAACTGTTCAGCCCTATCCACGTTGCCTTCCTGAATTTCAACGCACTGACACGTGTTACCGTAGTAAACGTATTTCCACTCTATGTCATCAAAAAAACAAACAAAAAACAGGCAACCAACGGTAGTATGACTAAATTGCATTTCAGTGCTCTGAAAATTAATAGATATACGTGGCTAACGTAAGAAAACCCGTATTTTCATTGTTTTTTTTATTCAACAGGCGGAGTGTTGGCGCATGCCTACTATCCACAGTTTGGCGATGCGCATTTTGATGACGACGAATACTTCACAGTGCGTACTTCTGATGGAGTCAACCTCCTCTTTACAGCCGCACACGAGTTCGGCCACAGCCTGGCTTGGCTCATTCGTCCGTATCTGATGCGTTGATGTATCCTTTCTACCAGGGATACAATCCTGATTTCGCTCTCACAGAAGACGATATTCGTGGAATTCAAGCAATTTATGGTTAGTTGGTGTTTTTTTTGTGATGTTTTTCTCTGTTATAAGTAATAAGTATTTCAAAAATTACCAAATTTCTTGCGGATGAAATGTACTTAACCCAAAAGTGATCAATTTTAGACATACGTAAAACCCAATTTCCATATAACGAACCAATCATCTGTTACAACATCATGACAGGAAAAATATTGCCTGCATAATTTTGGTGATTCCTATTATGTGCAAATACAATACTTTTTTGAGCATATAGTTTAACTGACCCAAAATAAAACTATAAATTGCAATCTTACGACTTGTTTCTCTCTCGAATCAAACAGGAGTTCCTGACGCGATCATCCAGATGAACCTGGCGTCGATGCTGCGGCATGACAATGGAAACACATAGCATCCCTGATATATGTAACACCAATATCGATACGATATTCATGGGTAAGCACACCTATTTCGAACGCCGAAAAGTAACCTCTCCGCTGACGACACAGATCCCATTTCTATTTCTTCACTAAATGATAACTCACTCGTGTCAGAAAAGTATGGACACAATTTCTCCCAACAGTAGTAAATGTCCACATCTACTAGCGAGGAAGACCTACGATTGGGAGGTGACACATTGTGCAGAACATGTAAATATAAACGTAAATGTAATAAGCAATGACTGAATAATTCATTTGAGGATTTATCGTCTGCGTGATATTCTTTCCGACTACATCGTCAATGTCTAGCCTGACAAGGTCGCGCGAGTTTCGCCCTCCGCGGTGCTCTGAACCCAACACACTGACAGAACGATGTAGTTTTTCACTTTTTCCGACGATTTTTTGTCGGTACCAATCAAATTGCAGGAACGTCAGATAGTGACAACCATCAAAGAGTGGCCATTCACGGCAGAATTTATTTGTTGAGATAATGTGTGATAAGGTGCTGGCAAATTTCCGCCCAATGTTTATCATCTTATTGAAAACAGTCTGTGATTTTTGCCGGCAATGCAAACACAACTTTGTCTCCCATTTAAAGTGGTACTTATCAAATACCTTAATTTCATGATTGACGGTGTTACTATGACCACCGAAATGAATATTCATTGATACTCATATGCAAGAAGGCGTGAACTTTGTGAATTCACAGTAATGATCTTGCCAACGAGACATACGAGTACGCTATTCTGTCAGGCGTTAGTGAGGTCGGATATCGTTCGGCCGGCGAGGGCGCCACACACGCCTACATGTCAGGCTACATTAATGTCTAGCTTTGTTCGAAGCTGGTAAAATTACCACGTGACACCGAAACTTGCAGACTAATGTTATGTTTTCTTCCAAATAGATTATGATGACGTCACCTTTGTAACTAAAGGTGACTATATATGGCGAATCAATGATGCAGGAGTAGATGAAGAATACCCAAGGAAAATAAATGAAGAGTATCCCGATCTTCCCGGGGATATCCAAGCGGCATTTACATCGCCCTGGACGCTCAACACATATTTCATCAAAGGTTGGTATATTCAAACCTGCATTCAGTTCCGACGCGATGGCGACCATATAAACCGATCTAATAAAAAAATGTCCACAATCGATAACTTTATTGCATATATCAATGAATATTTGTATTTTTTTACAGGAAGGCGAATTTGGAAATTCAAAAACCGCACCTTGGCTGGGGGATACCCCAAACGGACTAAAGACGCAGGCTTGCCACGTGACCCAGACGCGGCGTTCGTATGGAGTGGAGAAGGCAAAATTTACTTTTTCAAAGGCTCGCGCTATTATACCTGGAATGAAATCACCGGCAACGTTAACAGAGGCAACGTGCAGAAAATAAGGAAACACTGGAAAGGAATACCGTTAAACGTGGACGGTGCCTTTCAGTGGAAAAATCGCAAAACGTATTTCTTCAAAGATGACGACTACTGGAGGTACGACGATTTGGAAATGAGGGCCAGTGGTGGTTATCCGAAGTCCACCAAACTATGGTGGGTGGGTTGTGAGGGTCCTGTTATTGCCGGACGCCTGAGTGCCAAGCCCGCGGGATCATCCTAAAGTCCTTCGTCAATCACATAGTCGTGATATAATATAACTATACGATGTCAGTCTATGACAAAGCGTGACTTCTGCACTGAAAACAATGGCCAATGATTACAATATAGACACGTGTTTACTAATTTACAGTGTAAATTTGACAATAGGGTTACATACATTAATGAGAAGAAACTCCAACATTTTTATTTGAACTGGCAAACTAGTATATACCACTATCATATTCCAGGTACATGGTCAGTACAGTATATATATATTTATTGGATAAAAATATAAATTACATGAATAATCATATTATACTAATTCTCAGATACTACGCATAACCTTGCATTTAGACGGTGACGCAATTTGTTTTGCTATAATATTTAATAGCACACAAATCTCAATTTGTCAACAGAGGGTGATGTGTAAGTACGAATATGTGAAAAAAGACTTCTTGTATGAAGACATTATTTTTTCAGACCTTAGGTAAACTTACTGACTTATTTTTCAGTATTAAAATAAATAACCAAACTTTTTTAAATTGTCATTACTCTGGTCACTGTGATGGGTTGAAGGGAAAGGGGGGGGGGTAAATTTGTTGTGCTTGTTAAACAGAATGTGATTCGGGAGTATAGGCAAAATAATGTATGACAATGGATGGAAATGAATAGGAAACACACCATAAAACAAGAAACAGGCTCGCGCTTATAAATCTACAGAATACTAGTTGATACAATTGTTCGTAGTACGCGTTGAGTTTTCCATCTGTCATGAATTTGTTTTCGCGTATCTGTTAATCGACTTAATTAGCTGGTTATTAGCGAATTGCTGTGTTATGTCTGTCATCGTTTAGGCCTATTTGAAGTTTTGGACGGAACTTGGCTCAGTGATTTGGAACTAATTACGAGATAACCGTCGCTATTCTGACTAAGATTTCTGACAGTTGGTATCCGTAGTTATTAATGTAGTGAACAATTAATCAAAAGATATGACGTATTCAGTACTTAGTGTGATTGGCTTTATGATTGAAGGTTACGCCTAGAGACTTTTTACTGTTTTGTAATTGGTTAGAGTTTTGAAAATGAATAAAGAGAGTTTGAGTTGGTCTTGGGGAGCACAGCACGATAGACGCAGTCGAGTTCAGTCCTGGAGAGCCTTGGGGCGAGTGTTGACGCAGTCTAGGAGAGTCTTGATTTCAAATAATAAGTAATTTTTCCCCAGGGCGCTGTGTCTTACAGGGTGCTCGACTGATCAACTAAGGCGAGAGTTGAAACGTATTTCGTTGTGTGTGTCTTATTTGACTGTAAAGCTTAAGTGACTTCCCCGACCCCGTACCTCAAGGGGACGCGACATAGAGGCGAGACGAGATTCCCCCCTGACACGTGTGGAGAACCTACAGGAAAAGAAGATTTACCCCCTGATACATCTCCCATTCCACTATACGTGTATGTAACTTAAACTTTTACACTCAACTTTGAATTCTTCTGTACATTTCGGGCCAAAATCGTTATATTTCTTGCGGAAGTAAGCATAGCCTGGTTCGCGTTTTGCGTCGTTTTAATGCACTAGATGTCCGCTGCCCATTCTACATAATTCAACACGCCTGCCTTTAATCCTTCTGTACATTTCGGTCCGAAATCATCATACTTCGTGCTGACGTAAGCGAATCCTGACCCATTCCCAGTGTCAGATCCCCGGATGTAGATATCATGGTTGTTTATTATCCAGTCTTGTATATTTCCATGATATATTTCATACCATTGTATATTACTAGAACTGCTTACATACAGAGTAATGTTACTATCAATCGGATACTGGCCATCGAATATGATTAGACTTTCGTGATTCTGAATACGTGACATGTTTACCAGAACACCCTTCGTAGCGGAATTGATAATATATGACGTCATCACAGATTTGCATTTGATCCCCTCATCTCCGTCTGTATATAAAATGCCAAAAACTTGCTTCGTGTAACCATCACGAGTGTTCCCTTGAAAGTTAACGCTGACCTCTCGCGGGATTTGACCAGCATTGGCGAGTATCGCGAGATCAACTACCTTACTGACGGGGAAGTTGTCTACGGCCAAAATGTTAGATTTATACAGATTGGGTCTGGCAAGCCAATAACGGATCATGTCATTTAAACCTTTAAAATGGACGGATGCAACGGTGGAATATGTATTGATATCTCGTGCCCCCATTCCCAAAATAGTCGCGCCTTTCGCAAGATCTAGTACTGTAGTTGCAGTACTTTCGTATCCCATTAATTTGGCAACTTCCGACCCGTAGAAGTGCATGTGTGTGATATTGTGGCGTAAATCTGACATGGCAGCCGATGATAGTCTAAACTGTGCATTATTTTCGACATCTGTGTCTTTTTTATCTGGAAATAGCGATTCTAAAATGATCTCCCGTTCGTAATTGTTCCCGCTTTCTAAAATGTTTAATATATTGAAAATAACGTCCCTGTTTAGATTTTGATTGGGGGTATATTGGGGGCCAAATGTCGAATTGAGAAAGTTGATCACCGCTGCCGAGGACCGACTATCGGAATATGTTGACGGTGACAATGATTTATTAAATAGTCCAGTAAGATCAATCAGGTTTTTCAAATTGGAGATGACGTTCGATATATTCAATAGCCCCGGATGTTCTCGCAATGCGCCCCCAATAATTGTGTTGATACTAGGGATCACACACACGTTTGTAACAGTAACGAGTTCATTCGTTTTCTTGAACGTACGCAATTTCTGAGAACAATGATCGAAAAGCCCTTCGGGAGTAGCACGGACATGTAAAGTAGAAATGACGTTGCGTTCGGGAATCCGACGAAATAAGTCGATGTGATTGGCTATCATTGTCCCGTAACAATGATATGTGTAAATCAACACGTTCCTTTTGCTTTCCAAAATTTCCTCTACCGATGGGTTTGGTCCAAGAGAAGTGGGAACAACATGTTGTTGTAAGTATTTATTGATGACATCACCGAGGTGTGTTTGCGTCATATTGTATTCATGTTCAGATGGCGTGTATTCAGCGGCATACCTAATATTAACCATAAGAATGATAATTTCGCCTTTATTTTCCCGCGCGAATTCTGCTATCTCGCGGAGACCAGTTACAATGTGATCGGCGATAAGTCCATGATTCCAGTGAAAGCGGTCTTCTGTCGGCAAGTAAGCGACTCGGAGGTCTAAATATCGATATCCACAAGCCAATTGTAAAGTGAAATTTGCAGGTTGATTTTTTGACCAAGCGGCGATTGGAATTCCTAAATCCCGGAACTGACTGAGAAGCGTTAGAGATGAAGGACCATTTGGTAATATTCCAAACGATCCACTATTATGCGTACCCGGTATGACCAAATCACTTATCGATTTGTCTTTGATGATGTCATAGAGTTCTGTCATCCACCGCCTTTCATCGATTCCTTCGTTTGCATTCCTATCATCTTTGTTTAGGAGGGCGACAACTTGAACTATGTTCTTTGACACTAGGATTGGGAGTAACATGATCACGTGAATCGGCGGAAACGTAATTCTGTTCAAGAGTTTCGTCTTCAGTGCGAGTAACCTTCTGTATGTTGTTATCTTCGCGTAAATTGACCGCGCTGCTGTCAATTTTATTATTTCCTCGATGTTTTTTGTTCCCGGACCAGCCGGACTCATCCGAGAAAGCTCCAACTTGTCTTACACCAGAGCTCCCCGTACTCCAAAAGAATTTCACCGGAGTAACCCCCTTCGTTTGCCTAGAGTGAAACAGAAACCATGCGTTAACTACAATATTGTTATTAATCCACTTTCTCTGATGTTCAGCTTTAGCACAATCCCTATATTTTCTTAACATATAACACAAAGTAAAGTCGAAAACTGTAATTAATACACATTAATTTTGATAAACTCATGGCCTCAAGGTGTAATGCAATCCTTAAAAAGATATCCACAGGGTCACGACGGCGGCTTTCCTGTTCCATTTTTGAATAGTTTCCTATTGAATATAGTTTGTACTCCCAATCATGTACAGTAATGACTTCATAGTTAACCGAATACATGCTTAAATGTTTGAAACATAAAATAAGCACTGGCGACGTTAATGCCTTAATTTTGAACGGGACTAATTGACTCCCAAAAGATCCTTTTCGACAAAAAACTATTGTATGTTTGGGCATCAGTCATCAGCTTTTTCTTATGTTATATTCAATATGTCAATGCATATTCACAAGAATCATTGACTTGATTGTCCGTTAATTGACGCTGTTCACCCGTTGGAATGCACAAACAGACTGTTTCACAATAACCATTTAATTATGAAATGGGTTGAGTAAACACCACGCCAGTTAAGTTTATTATACATTGAATAGTTGATGCTGTCCTAAAAGTGTTTGTCGCTGGCATATCCGAAATTTACAACCAATACATGGCAGTAATTTGATACGACTGTTCGCTCACTTAAGATCACTACAACGTAAAACGTGATCCAGGCATGCATATACGGATATTCGCGCACATACTTTATTGTATGTTTGCGACTTTGCGTAGAACAGTTCTGAAACTGAACAAATTTAGTAACTAAGCTCATCGAGAAACTATTTTGTGTGGGTGGGGGATTATAGAAGCAGGTATGGATTGGTGTCTCGCGGTCATATAATTTGTGACATTAAGAGTCACATAAGATTGATGTATCAATATATGCACATGTTGTTTTCATCTTCCCGTCGCTGTGAAAATTAAATATATACATTAAAATACACAAAGAGAACATTCGAAATTCGTATCATTATTTACATTTGGCAAACCAAGGAACGCACGGTGTCGCCAAACATAATCTACTTCAGTTAGTACGCCCTCGTAGGCAGGCAAACGATTTTGAGCCTGGTGGCGCACTAGTAACTCGTACCAGTCTCAAATATAGACAATGTTGAGTAGCGAAATACGCACAAACATACAAACATATAATATCTACATTGTTAAGAATATGTCAAAATGGATCATATTAAATATGTACCACCTTGGCTAACAAAAGATTGTGACTTTTTATGTTTTTTAACAACGCTCTTCAAGTTCTTTCTAGTCTAACGCCTATATAAACGTATTCACGTTCTTATGCTGTGAACATTAACTCTAAACTAACATGGCAGGCACACACAAGAGTCGAGAATACCTACTTTTAGTTTAGATTTTATCACTTTATTTATATCTGTATATGTCCTGATATCTAACCATTCACCAGTATAAGAACTGCCTGCATACATTTCTTAATACATACATAACTTTTGACAAAATACAGATTTTTATTTATTAATAGTATCAGCAATTTCATAATTGTTTTTACATAGTACTTAAAACCAAGAAGATATTTATCAAAGAACTTCGTTAGTTTTTTAAATTACGAATACCTCTTTGCACATTTTTTCTTTAGGAAGATGTCACGACGTCTGCAAGTTTTTCAATCTCGAATGAAGAAAGAGCTCAGAGAGTAAAAATAACTGAATCTACTTGTTTGATGAGCCAAAATATGCAGCGTTTCGAAATGTATGCCATGTCTGAATTACAACCTTGATCACCGATCAGCTCATTTAAGAGGAGAGGAGATGTGGAATACCAATTCATAAAAAAACATAATCACAAAAGAGCTAAACAGAACAGGAATGAACAACCTTGAAATATCTTCTACACATTGTCGTAGTCAAAAAGAGGAATCAAATCAAACTGCATACCACAACCTTATCTATATTTATCGCAAGTATACGGTATTATTAAGTAATTGTAGTTGGAGACATAGTTCGTACGACATGTTAAGAAAATGTATATATATTTTTACACGCCAGACCTATTAATCAATACTTTTAGAAAATATGCATTTAAAAAAAATTGGAGAGACATGATTTTATTTCACATACTGTTTTCTGTTCTGAGAATTCATGTCGCTGGTTTCATATTTAAATTAACGTAGAATTCCAATTCACGTCTCCTCAAATCGATGCATATAGTTTAACATGTCCAATCACACGAGCGCGTCACAATGGAACCCCTTTCTTTGAACACACTCATAAACACGGAGCGGAGAACCTCGCGGCATCACATTAACATACCGAATAATATACGTGTTTTAACTACTTAGTGGTATGAAGTGAAGTTTTGCTGCTAGGACTTTCACGATTTGATGTATTGATGATGTACGGGAGAATGGAATATCGCGGAAGTCACTTAGACAACACATTAATTGGAACCTCGTGGGCACTTTTCATTGATTTCTCGCGAAATTAAAATCAGTT